TCTAAAAGCATTGGTTTGGGAGCTATAAAGATTCCCACCTCTGTCAGTACCGTGCCGCCTCCAGATCCACAGCTGTTCCAGGAAAGGTCATGAGAATTCAAAGACCCAAAGCAAGTCCCGCATCTGACCCTAACTTACTGTTTGTTTCACTTTCCCTGTCTACAGAAATGAGCCCATTACCTTTATTTATCCTATAGGAGCAACAAAATTAGGGTAACAGAACTTGGATCTGCTCCTGCTTGTAGGGAAACTCTCACGGGCTTTCCATCGGTATCCAGAAGCTGTGTGGAACTCCGGAAGGGGGAGAGGCCGGGCTCTGAAGGGTGGGCACCAATCCAGGCCCGGCCCTCCTCCCAGCCAGCTCCCCTCACCCCCTCTCAGCCAGGCGAGAGGAAGTGGCAGCTGTTGTCCTGTGGGGAAGACAGGCAGAGGTCCACCTGGCACTGCTGGGATTTTCAGAGCACCCGCCCCAGTGACTTTAAACACACACACACACACACTCACACACACACACACACACACACACACACACACACACACACATATGCAGCAGCATGGCATTAGCCTGGGAGTGGCTGGGCAAAGAGCAGTGGCTGCGGCGATAGAATGAGAAAATAGAGGGTAGCTACCTCATATCCCTGGGGTGAGGTTGCTTGTGTGAGGGGCTTTCTTCACTCCCATCTTCTCCCACTATTTTGTCTTCTTGCTCACCCCTTTCTAATTTTTCTCTTTTCCCTTCTGCCAGACTCTCTGATCAGTCCTTGGCCTGATACCTGACCCTTTTTGTTCTCCCTAATCTTGTCCCCTTTCCTCCATCTTTTTCTCTTGCCCCTTACATGTGGTGTAGGAGAACTGGCAAAATTATCCCACTGACTGCAAAGTGAAGCAGATCTTGGAAGCTGGATACTTTGGGCAAATAAACAAAATCACCTGCCTTCTCCAAATAATTGAGGCAAAGTAGGGGTTTCAGCTTGAATTGTACAGATGGTAGTTTCAACCCTTTAATTTTTGGGTGCAAACCTAAACCTTTACTGTCTCTCCCTTTCGGCCTGAGACACAGTAGGGCCATGTTTTACTTTCATGCAGCACTAAGGTGGCCTTCTGGAGAACCCAGCATAATGGATCTGAAGAGCAAACTAGGATAATTATAATGACAGGAAAACACAAGAGCACAGGGCAGTGCAAGTCGTGGTTTGGAAACATCTCACTCTAGAATAATGAGAAGTGAAGAGTCCTGGCTAGGAATTCAAATGAGCTCTTTCCCACCCCCCCCCTACCTCCCCCCCCCCCCCCCCCCCCAGGCTGCCTCCAGTCCATGGCTGGACAGGCCTGTGCTGATCCACATTCTGTCCACAGTCTGCTTTAAACCATGAATTTTATTTCCAAACATTTGCATTTCTACAGCAGCAGAGGCATAATTCTCTATCCAGAAGTTCAAACTGCAAAGATTCAGGCACCTTAACAAAGCAGTGAATGCTGTTCCACAGCCAAGGTCTCGCTGAGGGCAGAGCACAGGAGCCAGAGACCTGTGTGAACTTGCTCCTGGTTCTCTGTCGCCATCTAGTGGTGCTTCCCATCTCCAACACCACCTTTTCTTCCAAAAATCATCCTGACCCTCAGCAGGTCACTCCATCTACTAAAATCATGTTCCACCGCCCTCAAAACAAAAACCTCCTCTTCTCGACTTGAAATTCTGACTTCTAGACCAGAACACAAACTTTACAATCAAGAACGTTCACATGGCTTCGCTACAGTTATAATCTACAACAAGGGCCTTTCACTTCCTCTGCTTAGAACACCCCCACCCCCAGGGCCTCCCCAGTGTGTGCCGAGTAAAAGTCAGAATCCTTTACTGGTCTCTGAGGCTTTCCATGATCTGGCCACTGGTCCCTCTCTGACGCATTTTCACCTGCTCTGATCATCCTTCACCTGCTCCAGCCACGCTGGCCTCCTTGCTGTTCCAACACCCAGGCATCTGTCTGCTTTAGGGCCTTTGCAGTGCTGTTCTGTTTGGACGACTGTTCCCCACATAAGCACAAATTCACTTTCTCATCTTCAGGTCTTTGTCCCAACATCGCCTACCTTAATGTCCCTGTTTAAAAATCACTGCCTAACCAAAAGACATGAATAGACATTTTTTCAAAGGAGACGTCCAGATGGCTAACAGACACATGAAAAAATGCTCAACATCACTCATCATCAGGGAAATACAAATCAAAACCACAATGAGATACCACCTTACATCTGTCAGAATGGCTAACATTAACAATTCAGGCAACAATGGATGTTGGCGAGGATGTGGAGAAAGAGGATCTCTTTTGCACTGCTGGTGGGAATGAAAGCTGGTGCAGCCACTCTGGAAAACAGTATGGAGGTTCCTCAAAAAATTAAAAATAGAACTACTCTATGACCCAGAAATTTCACTACTAGATATTTATCCAAAGATACAAAAATGCTGAGCCAAAGGGACACATGCACCCCAATGTTTATAGCAGCACTATCAACAATAGCCAAAGTATGGAAAGAGCCCAAATGTGCATCGACAGATGAATGGATAAAGAAGATGTGGTATATATACAATGTAATATTAGTTGGCGATCAAAAATAATGAAATCCTGCCATTTGCAATAACGTGGATGGAACTAGAGTGTATTATGCTAAGTGAAATAAGTCAGTTTAGTCAGAGAATGACAAACATCTAATTTCACTCATATGTGGAATTTAAGAAACAAAACAGATGAACAAAGGGGAAGGGAAGCAAAAATAAGATAAAAACAGAGAGGGAAGGGTGACTGGGTGGCTCAGGCGGTTAGGTGACCGACTCTTGGGTTTGGCCCAGGTCATCATCTTACGGTTTGTGAGTTCAAGCCCCACATCAGGCTCTGTGCTGGTGGCATGGAGCATGCTTGGGACTCTCTGTCTCCATCTCTCTCTGCCCCTATCCCACTCACGCCATCTCTGTCTCTCTCAAAAATAAAATTAAAAAAAAAAAACAACAAAGAGGGAGACAAACTATAAGAGACTCTTAAATACAGAGAACAAACTGAGGGTTGCTGGAAGGGTTGTGGGAGTGGGGATGGGCTAAATGGGTAAGGGGCATTAAGGAGGACACTTGTTGGGATGAACACTGGGTGTTTATTTAGGTGATGAATCACTAAATTCTATTCTTGAAATCATTATTAAACTATATGTTAACTAACTTGGATTTAGATTATTTAAATATTTAAAAAGAAATACATAAACTTTGCTGAATAAGAAAAAAAAATCACTGCCTACCAACTTCCCTCTTGTTCTACCTTTTTTCTTAGCAATTATCACTTCAAGCAAAGTGTATGTTTATTTTTTACTATCTTTCTCCCAGTGGAATGTAAGCTCCACCACAGGTAGGGATGTTTGTCTCTTTTATTCACTGATCTATGCGCCTCAGCACATAACGCTCAATACATACGTGTTTACTGCGTGGATGAACATGAACTCAGTGTTCTGAGATCAACTACTACTTACAGGTGAATCCTGAAAACAAAACTGTTGTTCATCTCAGTTTCCCGGGCCTTCCCACCCACAGATGGTGATGATTCTATTCCTCAGTGTCTCGGTTCTCCTGAGTGCCCTGTGCCAAGCTCACTAGAGCCCCCAGACCAGTCCACCTCAGGCTTTCCACACAGCTAGAACTACCCCAAGGAACAAGGCCTGCAAGATAAAGGCCTGTGGCAGAATGAGGCAACTGCCACCCCCAACGGCATTTTCAAATTTGGATGATATTTAAATTTTTCAAATTTTAACAAAGTAAGGAGGAAAAGAGTGAGGGATGAAAGGTGTTGGGGGCCTTCTCCAGGTAAAGTCAGGTGGCCCTGCTCAGCATCTGGCACTGAGGGGCCCAGAGGAGTGAGCGACCAGAGAATAGCTGAGTTGGGGTGGTGCTGGGCATCGTGACTGTGATGAATCATCCACTTCCCTGTCTCCTCCATCTCCTCCAAAAGATAAGCAGGAAGTCCTGATGACAAGAAATCATACAAATATTCTAGGCTGTTCTCTCTGCATCTCATCAGGTCAGAGAAAAAGCCATCCTTACCACTGCAGGGACTGGCTCTTCCGGTATCATGAACCAAAGGTGTATATGGGGGATAAATGGCAACTCCCTTGAAATTCGTTTGGGGTTGACACCTGGGTCAGGTGCTTTATTAGAGTCATTAAAACCATGTGGCTGGGGGCCAAATCTATTCTTTGAGCATGAGGTTTGAAGCTTCCTCATTGCCAAACCTGTTTAGGCAGGTACACTAGCTCCATAGGTATCCACTTATTTGGGACTTGTAGGTGGAAAGGCATGAACCTGATTCATTTCCTGATCCAGGATGGCTCCCCAGCCCACCCTCAAACAGAAGCAACATAGCTCAGGCCAGCTCTTAAGGAGTTAAAAGGCAAGTGATCTGAGGCCAGTGGCAGGTAGGGGCAGCCTAAACAGGGGCTAAGCTGGAGCTGCAGAAGCACGGGAACTCAGTGAGGAGGTAAGACCTGTGGAGGGACATCGGTGAGGAGAGAGGACAGAGAAGGGACAGGCTCTGATGAGAGTGAGGGATGAGATAAACGAAGGAAGAAGGGATAAGGACACACACACAGGACAGAGGAGAGTGATGCCAGGATGGAGGCACAGAGTGGGAACACGGGGGCCAGGGGGTGTCATGGAGTAGATGAGACACAGAGCCAATGGATAAGGGCACAAAGAGGATGGGGCTTGAGGGAGAGGAGATAGAACAAAGAGTAGGAGGACAGAATGAGGGAAGACAGGATACAAGGTGAGGGGGATGGGGTCACAGTGGGTGAGAAGGGCACCCAGAGCAGGGAAGAAGGGATGAGACCCCTGGGTGAGGGAAGAAGGAGGCAGTAGTGGAGGGTAACGGTGATGAGATAGAAGGAGCGCATACAGGAAGACTAATTTCTCACCTCTTGTTCTCTATCCCCAGCAAACCCAGCCCTCCGTCCTGACTGTTCCCCTGAGAGAGATGGCAGCAGCCAGAGCAGGATACGGCCCTCTGCTCCTGCTCCTGCTGCTGGGGCTGTGCCTAGCTGAGGTCCCAGTCAGTGCCAAGCCCAGCAACATGACTGCAGCTCAGTGGTTTGCAACTCAGCACGTGCAGCCCAAACCCCAGGGATGCGACACTGCAATGAACAACATCAACAAATACACGAAACGCTGCAAAGACTTCAACACCTTCCTGCATGGATCCTTCTCCAGTGTGGCCACCACCTGTCAGACCCCCACCATAGCCTGCAAGAATGGCCGTAAAAACTGCCACCAGAGCCAAAGGCCTGTGTCTCTGAGCACATGTAAGCTCACCTCGGGGAAGTATCCAAACTGCAAGTACAAAAAGAAGCAACTGGTCGCTTCTTACACTGTAGCCTGTGACGCTCCCCAGGCAGGAGGCTCTGGGAAATTCAAGCTGGTCCCTGTGCACTTGGACTAGGTCCTTTAGGTTTGCAGCCTTCCTCCCTCTTGGGCTGTACCTTAATTCCCTCTCCAGGCCTCTGTGCAAGTCTTTTTTTTTTTAATGTTTATTTATTTTTGAGAGAGAGAGACACTGAGGGGGAGGGGCAGACAGAGAGGGGGACAGAGGATCCAAAGTGGGCTCTGCATTGACAGAGGCGAGCCCAATGCAGAGCTCAAACTCACAAACCTTGAAATCATGACTTGAGCCAAAGGCAGATGCTCAACTGACTGAGCTACCCAGGCACCCCTCTGTGCCACTCTTCATATGTCCAGAAGGTTCTTTTCCTCTCATCTCTTAGGGTCCTTCCTAGCTCTTCTGAGAGGCTGAGGGTGAGCTGAGGTAGACAGGTTGGAGGGCTAAGCTCCAGAAGAGATGGTCTTTCATCTTTTTGTTGCTGTTTTCCCGGAAGCTTACCCTCAAGAGAGGGGTTGAGCAAGCTAAGAGTATGGGTTCCCTGGCCTGTGCCTTGTACATCTCTCCCCTGTCCCCTCTTTTCATGGCAGCATGACAAGAGGGGGAAATAAATGGACAAGGAGGGTATGGGAGTTATGGACAGAGCTGCTCCGGTTCCTAAACCAGGAATCTTCCCCAGATAACGTGGTAGTGACATGGCCTGTGTGTGGAGAGGCAGCTGGGAAGAAAGAAAACAAAGTACCACTTCATATTTATGTAGCATTTTAGGCTTTCATAGTGGAGCCACATGAGTTCCTTGTGAGATAGACTTGAGAGGGATTATGTGCCTTCTTTAGGGCAGGAAATCGAGATTTGAGAAAGTGTAATTCATTAAAAAGCTTGTCAAACTGGTTAGTGGCAGAACCTGGACTTGCACTTAGGACTCCTTATTCTAAATACGGTGTACTTTGTACTTGACCGTTGTGCAGAAATGGAGAGACCTCTACAGGGACTAGAGAACTAGGTAAGAGTTCACCCATATCCCCTGAGAGCTCTCCGAAGAGCCAGTTGTCCTGTGCTGGCTGCAATAAAGGTCACTACGTCTCTAGCCAAGAGCTGTTTATGAGGTGCTCCAGGGATCTTAATCCATTCTCTCTCTGCCTCTCTAACCGGGCTCCCCCTTCTCCAGCCCACTGTTCTTCCGACCCAGCCCCCCCACCCCCCCACCCCGGGCCTGGCTGTGGCTAGATCCCTTTGGCCTGAAGGCATAGGGTCAGGGGAGTGTCCCAGCTTCATTCCCCTGCTCCAGGATCACATTTCCCTTGACCTCAAGGGACTTCCGTGGCCCAGAGCCTGCTGGTCACAAACAGGCTGGTGGGAGCTGCCAGAGCTTCCTTCCTCTGATAATGATCTCTCCTGCCTCGGTGCTTCTCTGGCTCTCCAATCTGGCGGTCTGCCCAGGCCGGAGGGCTTGAGATGTGGAAATGCCATCTCCCTGTCCCCCCAGGTGTAGACACCACTTCTCCCTCTCTAGTGAGCAGAACTGGAGAAGCTGTGGCTTTACACTGGCTCTGTTCTGATAGTGCCCCCCACCCCCCGCCACCACATTGCCTGCAGCCCTCACCATCACCAGCACATTCTCCATTTCAGTCCTAAACTGACTATGCCCATGCCCACCCTACTTCACTGTCCAATTACCTTGTTAGACTTTCCCTTCCCAGCTGGGGAGTCTGTTCCCTACCCGTCCCTCCCCGACACCACCCATGCTCCTGTACTCCTTACCAGAGTCAGAGTCAGTTTTGGAGACGGATAAAATTGGGTGTAAATCTGGGGCGCCTGGGTGGCGCAGTCGGTTAAGCGTCCGACTTCAGCCAGGTCACGATCTCGCGGTCCGTGAGTTCGAGCCCCGCGTCAGGCTCTGGGCTGATGGCTCAGAGCCTGGAGCCTGTTTCCGATTCTGTGTCTCCCTCTCTCTCTGCCCCTCCCCCGTTCATGCTCTGTCTATCTCTGTCCCAAAGAAAATAAATAAACGTTGAAAAAAAAAAAAAATTGGGTGTAAATCTTGGTTGGCTCAGTGTTCCTGGCCAAGTGACCTCGAGCAAACTACTGAACCTCTCTGCAGCTGTGCTTCCATACAGCAAAATGGGAGTGATACCACCTACCCAATAGGATTGCAGGAAAATTTAGAAATGATATTTATGATGCCTTAAGCAGCCCTCAGCCCTGGTAGGCAATTAATAATGACCACTAGTAGTAACAAATAGTTGTCCAGTCAAATCCACGGTGGCAAACATGCTGACGAAGGCAAATGCCCCACTCAACTTTCCTTGAAGGCCTTCTTCTGCTAGAGTGATGTTCATGAGTAGCTAGAGGACAAGTCTGCACAGTCCTGCTGGGTGGGCTGGTGTTTGGAGAGGAGGCGGAGGGAAAGTAGGGAGGGTATGGTCAAAAGAAAGAGCGGAACGTTGAACAATTCAAGCAGAACGTGGGGCACTACGTTGCTGAGTCTTGGAAGTAGAGGTGCACTAAATACACATTGTGGCCAGATTCCAAATTACAAAGTGTAAATCTATATATCCTATGGTCATTATACTCTGCGTTTATCACTTTATTTTTTTAATGTTATTTGTTTTTGAGAGAGAGCACACGCACAAGTGGGGGAGGAGCAGAGAGAGAGGGACAGAGGATCCAAAGTGGGTTCTGTGCTGACAGAGGCAAACCAGATGAGGGACTGGAACTCACCATGAGCCAAACCCTGAGATCATGACCTGAGCCGAAGTCAGATGCTCAACAAACTGAGCCACCCAGGCACCCCATTTATCACTTTAAATAGATGGTTTCAATGAGGTGCATAGAAAGCAAGATACTTGGGGGTATTGACTTTTTCCCTTTTTTTTCACAACTCTTTATATATTCATATAAATATAAATTGTATAAGTTGATATATACCATATATAAATATAAATTATATATATTGATGTTTTTTCTTATGGATATTACGGTTTTGAAGACTTCCTCCTCACAAAATTTTGAAGTGGCTATAATGATGCTTTTAGTGCATCCTCTCAAAATGAAAAGAATTTCCAGATAAAACTTTTTCTTAAAAGATTCATGACCTAAATAGTACTAAGTAACTAAAAATCAAGCATAATTCAAAAGTAATCTGTGGTGATGGAGTTCAAAATAGTGGTATATTGGGGAGTACTAACTCGCAAGGGGTAAGAGGTAAGCTGGAAATGTTCTTTCTTGGTCTGGATGTTTACTTTGTGAAAACCCATTGAGTTGTACACTGAAGATTTGTATAGTTAACTGTATGTAAATTACACCTCAATAAAAAATCCTTCTGAATGTATAGCTCTTAACAATTATTTTACTTAACATGATAAATGCTAATACACCAATCAATTCTATAAAGATTATGATATAATGGAATCATAGATGGAATTATGATCTAGTTGAATTTCTGTTGCTCTGCTTTATACTATTTTTTGAATTGAATAGTACTTATACTATTTATTAAATTGTTATAAATACTTTGGCTCAAAAAGTATATGAGGTTCTTCTTAAAGTTGTCCGGCTAATACACTATCTCTTCTCATATATTAACTGTCAACTGATTTTCCTATTTTATGTGAAAATTCTTCATTGTTTTATATATAATAAAATCTTTTACAATCATTAATTATTCAGCATTTTTCTTAAAATAATAAGTGTGCGTTTATACTTCTACTGACTGACAGAATTTCGACACTTAAAAATTCATAAGGAAAATTTCACTCTAAGTTACATCTAGAATGCCCACTAATATTTGAAAGTGATTCAGATATTAACGATGAATCCAAATGACTTGTTTGTTCTCATCACTGATGATTTAACTGATTAGGTTTAACAGTCACCCATTCCTTCACATGACTTTGATCACAGCCAAGTTGAGAGATGCCAAGAATAATGTTGAAATAAGCATTTGACTATTCAACTTTCCAAAGGTCAAAGGTGAGGTCCAAAGTGAATAACAGGTTTGGGCCAATTACTAAGGCCGGCTGAAGCCTGATTCAGTCCTACCTCATGGCTGAAGGATGGGAAAAGGAGGCTGATTAGTTATTAAACATTGCTGTTTCTGGGAGTGGGAGCTTGGGGAGGGGAGGAGAGTGTGTAGGGGAACATTGTCCAGCCTTGTGTAGGTGGCTTTAAAGGAAATTGTTTCAGGGTTCCTGCGTGGCTCAGTCAGTTAAGCATCTGGCTCTTGATTTTGGCTCAGGTCAGGATCTCACAGTTTGTGGGTTTGAGCCCTGTGCTGTCAGAGCAGAGCCTGCTTAGGATTCTCTCTCCCTCTCTCTCTCTGTCCCTCCCCTGCTCATGCTTGCTCTCTCTCTTTCTCTCTCTCTCTCTCTCTCTCTCAAAATAAATAAAAAAGAAAAAGAGAAAGAAAATTGTTTCAACCCGGACCTAATATGGAGCAGACATGGAATCCAGAAAAGAAAGTAACCCAAAGGGCACCTGGGTGGCTCAGTTGGTTGAGTGTATGACTCTTGATTTCATCTTACGTCATGATCACAGGGTCATGGGATCAAGCCCTACATCAGGCTCCATGCTGAACATGCAGCCTACTGAAGATTCTCTCTCTCCCTCTGCCCCTCTCCCCTACTCGCTCTCTCTCTTTCTCAAAAAGAAAAGAAAGTAACCCCAGAACTGGTTCTAGAGCTCACTCACTTTCCTACAAGTGAAAACTGAGGTATATTAGGTAGGAAACTTTTCTACATCACCCTGGTTTCCCAGAGTCTCCATACACTGAAGTAAATGACCCATAGACATTACAAAGAGGGCCAGCTGAGTCAATGTGAAAAAAAAAGGTCCTGATCTCAAGGGCAGAATGTAGGAAGAGGAAATGCCCTTGAGATGAGGCCCTTCTCCACACATTGATTCATAGTGTCAATGGCTTTCTTCATAGGATCTATGGCTCTAAGAGAATAACTCTAGTGCTAAGGCAAGAAATACACCAATGACAATAACATCCAGGGATGTTCCTTTGAGAGAGCCTTGGCCCATTCTTATGCTCTTGCAGCTTCCAAAAGGACTTTGAAGAC